CTGACTGTAAAGTTATAGATTTTCAGCTGCGTGGGGGTTCCTAATGCCCACATTGTTCAGGGGTCAGCTGTATACATATAGAAAGAAATCTATTATAAAGAATTGCCTTGCACAGTTATGGAGGCTGAAAAGTCCCAAGATTTGCAGTTGGCAAGCTGGGGACCCAGGAGACCTGATGGCATAGCTCCAGTCTGAATCCAGGTGTCTCAGGACCAGGAGACCTGATGTCTCCTGATGCAGTCTGGCAGGCTTGAGGCCAGGAAGAGCTGATATTTCACTTAGAGTTCAAATGCAGGAGAAAAACCAGTGTCCCAGCTCAAAGGCAGGCAGGCAGGCAAGAAGAATTTCCCTTTACTCCAGGGAGGGTCAGCCTTTTGTTCTAATCAGACCTTCAACTGATAAGACTCACCCACACTGGAGAAGGCAGCCTGCTTTACTCTGTCTGTCCACATGTATATATATTTAACTCATCCAAAAATACCTGCAGAAACATCCAGAATGAAGTTTGGCCAAATATCTGGACACCCTGTGGCCCAGTCAAGTTGACACATAAAATTTATCATCATACATAGTATTTATCCTGTAAACTTAATAAGATGAATTATATTTATCTTCTTTAGTATTAAACTATTCCTGTGCTTCTGTCTTTAGAATACCTTCCCCCATTTTTTAAAAATACTTGGTTTGTTGTGTGAATGTTTTGTTTAGGAATTTTGTATCTGTGATGATGAGTGAGATCGACCTACAATTTTTCTTTCTCATATTGTCCTTATCTAGTTTTTATGGCAAGGTTATACTAGCTTCCCAGAATTGTAAGTGGTGTTTCCTCATTTTACAAAAGATGGATGTATATATGATAAAAGGAATCTATTCTTCGTGTGTCGGGTAGCACTTAGCTGCAAAACTGTCTTTAAAATGTTTATGGGTTTATGATTCAAATTTTTTAATAGAAAACTCAGGTTTTCTATTTCTTCTCAGGTCAGTCTGGATATATTATGGGGTTTTTTGTTTCTTTAGGAAATTGTCCATTCTATGTTTTAAAATTTATTGAGCTAGAATTACTTTTATAGTTTTTTAAATATCTGCTGTATTTTTGCAAGTAGTATTTTCATTAGGCTGTCTCTTACTAGTACTTTTCACCAGAGGTTTCTTGATTTTATTCATCTTAAGAACCAAATTTTGGTTTTGATCCTTTGTACCTTTGTTTTCCTGTTTTATTAATTTCAGCTGTCAGTTTTAGTCTACTTGGGGGGCGGTGTTATTTAGCTGTTTCTGACTTATTATGTTGGAAAAATGGGCAGTGAACTTGAGTTCTAAGTACTACTTTAGCTACGTTCTACATGTTTTTTTTTGTTTGTTTGTTTGTTTTGCGGTACGTGGGCCTCTCACTGTTGTGGCCTCTCCCGTTGCGGAGCACAGGCTCCGGCGGCGCAGGCTCAGCGGACATGGCTCATGGGCCCAGCCGCTCCGTGGCATGTGGGATCTTCCTGGACCGGGGCACAAACCCATGTCCCCTGCATCGGCAGGCGGACTCTCAACCACTGCGCCACCAGGGAGGCCCTACATATTTTAATATGTAGTATTTTCATTATCCAGTTCTAAGTAATTTTTAGTTTCCATTATGATTTCCACTTTGTCATATCATGTACAGGTATATTTTCAAATTTCCAAATGTATGAGAACACTTTTTTCTTCTTCTAATTTAATTCCATTGAAATCAGAACAGGTAATTATTTGAAATTTATTGGGATTAAAAAAAAACAAAACTCTGTGGTCAGTTTTTGTACATGCCCCCTCTATATTTGAGAAAAATGTGTTTTTTTTAAATGTTAAATCCTGGGGACATAATTCTGGGTTGACAGCTATTATCTCTTAGCACTTTGACTGTATTTACTGTGATATCTTCTGGCTTCTATTTTTGTTGAGAGGTCCACTCTTAGTCTAATGATGTTTTCTTTGTAGATCATCTTTTTTTCTGGTTGCTTTTTCAGTTTTTTCTTTTTCTTTTGCATTTTGCAGTTATATTAAATATATCTAGGTGTAGATTTCTTATTTATCTAGCTTGGTATATATTGTCTTCATATTTGTAGATTTATAGCTTTTTTTCTGGAGTATTGTTAGTCATTATCTCTGTGATTATACTTCTTCACTCTTTTTTGACTGCCTTTCTAGGACTCTGAAGCATCATGCTGTTCTCAGTGTCTGTTAACCTCTCTTGTGTTTTCTGTCTTATTCCTTTGTACTGCATTCTGAGTAATTTCATCATAGCTATCTTCTAGATTACAAATTCTGTCTTTAGTTGTGTCTAATTTGCTGTTGATTTTCGATTTCACAGAAAATATTTTTAATTTCTGAAAGCTATATTTGGTTCTTTTTGAGATCTGCCTGACTTTTTTTTTTAAAAAACAGATTCTTGTTAATTCTTTCAGAAAGACTTATTGAGTACCTATTGTGTGCCAGTGACTGTTCTAGGAGGTAGAGATTATATTCTGATGTTCCTTGCTATTTTTTAAAATTGCATCACCATTTTAGCCGTTTTAAAGTGTACAATTCTGTGGTTTTTACTAGATTTACAATGTTGTGCAACCATTACCACTTATCTTATTCCAGAATATTTTCATCATTCCAGAAAGAAACCTGATACCCACTAAGCATTCACTTCACATTCCTTCGTCCCCTCAGTCCCTGGCAACCACTAATCTACTTCTCTCTTATGGATTGGTCTATAGTGGACATTTTATATAAGTGGAATCATGCACTATGTAGCCTTTAGTGCCTTCTTTCACTTAGCATAATACTTTTAAGGTTCATCCTTGTTGTAGCATGTATCAGTACTTCATTTCTTTTATTTCACTGTATGGATAATGTCACATTTTGTTTGCCATTCATCAGTTGTTTCCACTCTTTGGCTATTAAGAATATTCCTACTGTGAATATTTGTATGACAGTTTCTGTGTGAACATGTTTTCAGTTCTGCCATATTATTTCTTTTAACATTTCATACCTATTTTATATATTGCATCTTTTGATTCCAATCTGCAGCCCTTGGGTATTTGAATCTATTGTTTTTGCTGAATCTCTCTTAGGGTAGCTTATTTTCTCTGAAACTTGGTAATTTAAGATTGTGAGCTTAATATTTTATATTTTTAAAAATGCTTTTTGTTTTCATACCATATTACCTGTAATGTTATCTGCAAAGCCAAAATAGTAGAATCAAGTAATATAAATCCACAGACTGGGTTAGTATTGTTTTCTGAGGGAGAAGGAAACAGTAAGGGGTAATAAATAGAGGCATCAGTACAGAGTTCACAGGTGTTTCCTATTGTACAGGATTGAAAGTGTTTCTTTGGCTTAAAGCCACAGATATTACTGCTAGGGCTTCTGTCTGCCTGAGTGTTGTTTCTGGGTATAGATTCCCTGTGTTCCATGAGTCTCTGGGGACATTGAGTCCCCTTAGCGCACTAGGGTCTTTAGGCCACTAAGCCAGTCAGGTTAAATTGGAGTGGGTGAGAAGTTAAAATAATCTAATTGTTTTTTTTCTGAGCAACCACAAAACATGAAGCTCTTACTTATGTCTCCCAACTTTCTGTTCTGACAAATCAACAAGAGTTGGGCAAAATGTTAGAAGAGATATGATATATAAAACATTTTGGATAAAAGGGTTTGAGTCTGAAACAAAAATTTTGCAGATACATTGTCCACCTTACTTTTGGATGTTCAAACAATGTTTTTATTAAGTGTAAATTGGTAGCGTAGTCACTTTAGTCCTTTAAATTATTGGTTCTTAACACAGACTTTGTTTACTGGAATTGTTTAAAAGGAATTTAGGTAGCACAAGTTTTCTTTCAGAATCCAGATATCCTTTTGTGTTTAGCTGCCATACTCAGTTCTTCCTTTACTTACCCTTTCTTTAATCCAAAAAATATTGTGAACTATTGCAGTAGTCTGTGAACTGAGTTCGTTGCATTACATTTTTCTCTTTCCTCCTGCAGTGCTATCAAGTTTCTTTGGGTTTTTTTTTTAGGGAAACGCTTCAGCTCAAAAGGGTATACTCTCGAGGGCATTTCTGGCTAACCTGGCATTCTTGTCTTTTTACAATCTAGCCCATGATCTTTCTTTCTAGACTTGTCTTACATGTTTCTCCTAGTCTCTCCTCACCCTTGGCCAGTCGTAAATACTCTGATGCCTGCAAACTGTCCATTATGTTATAACTCTGCCCTTTGTTCATGACGCTGCCTCTATTGAAATGTCTTTCCCACAACTTTAGGCTCTTGGCAATGTAGCCATCCTTCAAAATCCACCTCGCATATACTCTCAATATGTTTTCCAACCATAGACTAACTGTATTTTTTCCTTTCTGTTGCTTTGTAAATCTTTTTAAGACCTTTCCTGTCTTATCTAATTATTGATATTTCTTGTGTTACTTTCTCCACCCAATTATAACCTTCTTTTGATCAAAGGATCTTGTGCTGCTTGTCTTTCAAGTTATCTCTGGTAAGGCAAATTGCCTTACGTGTGAAAGATGTTCATTAAATATGTGAAGAATTAGATTACAGCAACACATTTCATTTGAGATTAGCCTGAACTCTTGAAAGGTAGCATTTGTGTCATACTTGTTTTGTATCTCCAACATCCAGCACACCACCTTGGCAATTAAAAACGTGTCTTTTGAATTGCTGAGGAAAATATTTGAAGTTTTTGTTTGGTTCTTGTATTTTAGCTTCAAGGAAAAATCAACAAGTTGATTTAATAGGAGAATTCTTTCAGTAATATTTTCTCGTTAAAATTATGAAAACTAAGGCATTCTTAATTGATTGGAATCCTGTTAGTGAGCAGAGGGTTGGTGGAAAGAGTTTTTTAGCTAATTCAGTAGCAGCACTTTTCCTAAAAAGATGATCAAAAACTTTTTGCTTTCCTTATAATTAGTAGAAACTGCTATGTTTCTGCCTTATGGTGAATAATAACGCAAATTCAACTTCTTCCCTCTTCCAAAAATGTAGGTTCTTGTTAAACCTTTGGGAGACCGAGGATACCTTTTTCTTCTCTCTCCTTGTCAAATGGTTTCTCCATATGGTAGGTGATCTTCTCTTTAATTTTTATAATTCTCCTTTAACTTTTGAAAAGTTAAAATATATTGCTAATGAATTTCACTTTTGTTTTTTTAGAACATCATACTGCTAAGTCTCGAGTCTTACATGCTTTGTTTCTATTTCAAGAACCTAGAGGCATAGTTACTTGTAAGTTCTTTGAATATCTAAATCCATTTACATATAGATACCGACATTTTATTGAAAATTTCCAGATAACTCACTAAGCATTTTGTCTTTCTTACATCATGTTTTGGGAGATAATGGGGGTATTAAGAGGTGTTAGCAATATAAAACACAAATTATATGACTTGTTTTTTTAAACTATGAAAAATTATCTTGGTTTTTGTCAGTGTTTTCACTAAGTAAATGTTGATTGTAATTGTTAAAATATTATAGCTTAGTTTTTCAGGGTTTCTATTATTACATTTTTTTTTTTTTTAGCTTAGTTCATTTTTGCATTCACATTTTAGTGACTAAGTGCATCATGTGCTAGGTTAAATATTAGGCCATTCACAATTAATAAGAATTTTCATACTGTTTTAGAGAACACCATTTCTATTCACCATTTCTAAGAATGAACTTTAATGCTGTCTTAAGGTAAAGTTCTCACTGTTAGGTTAAAAATGAAATTCTCGGGAATTCCCTGGTGGTCCAGTGGTTAGGATTCCATGCTTTCAGTTTCGAGGGCTCGGGTTCAGTCCCTGGTCGGGGGAACTAAGATCCCTCAAGCGGCGTGGCACGGCCAAAAAAAATGAGATTCTCAATGGTAGCCATTCAGTGCCTACATATCTGCTTATGGGGATAGAGAGATAGAGATAAAGTTGTTACAACAGGAAGGAGTGACAGTACTGTCATTTGCTGGACGGTCTTGCTAGGAGCCTCAGGCCTTTATTTCTCCTTACATTTTCCTTGCCACCAGTTGATGCCTAGGGACATGAAGAAGATCTTCAATGGGCAGGTGTTTTTCCCTTTAAAAATATGTTCTGCAGTTTTCATGTTTTAATTTCTTATTGGCCCATTTTAGGCTCCTGGGCTTAGAAGCATGCTATTCATATATCCCTATATAACATATATGTATTAGGGTACATACTGGTTTGGTCCACCATTAATGTATGGATGTTGTTACATTGCTTTGACTATATGTAGATCTGTACTTGACTAATTTCTTGATTGCTAACATGGTTTGCTTTTTTGTTTGTTTACAGCACAGAAAGGTTCAACCAGTGCAGCACCACAGGAGAGACGTGAGAGCATACCAGATGTATTAAAAATAACTCAATTTTTACAGTTTGCTTTGATTCAGTGTCGAAAGGAATTCAAAAATATAAATACTATAAATTTTCATTCTGTTGTTGAAAAGTATGTAAGTGAATTTTTTAAGCGAGGTTTTGGTTCAGGTAAACGAGAGTTTATCATGTTTCCATATGATTCACGATTAGATGATAAAAAATTTTTATATTCAGCTCCAAAAAATAAATCCCATATTGATAATTGTTTGCATACCTATATTTTTCGGCCTGAAATGTATCAGTTACCTATTTATAAATTAAAAGAGCTATTTGAAGAAAATAGAAAACTTCAACAGTTTAGTCCACTTTCAGATTATGAAGGCCAAGAAGAAGAAATGAATGGTACAAAAATGAAATTCGGAAAACGAAATAACTCAAGGGGTGAAACTATTACACCTGGAAAGCAGAAGTCATCTCACTCTTTGGATTATGATGAGGATAGAGTCAAAGAATTGATTAATTTAATTCAGTGTAGGAAAAAAAATGTGGGTGGGGACTCAGACAAAGAAGATACGAGAAGCAAAACTGTCTTGAAGAGGAAGCTTGAGGATCTACCTGAAAATATGAGAAAGCTCGCCAAAACCAGTAATTTATCTGAAAATTGCCATCTGTATGAAGGTAAAATATCAGAATTGTTTTTATATAGTATAAAAGTAACAACCAAAAACATAGTAAAGTAGTTCTGTCCTTTCTCCTCATACAAGGGTTTGCTAATTATAGCCTGAGAGCCAATCTAGGCAGTCCCCTGTTTTTATAAAGGAACTTTTGCTGCCAATCTCAGCTTCTGTATTCGTTTTTCAAGGCTTTGTTAAAGACTGGCCACGTCCAGCCTGGGTAGCCGTGTTTCCCACTCTCCTTGGTTAAGGCACTTTTCTCAGAACATGTCATGGTCAGCCCTTTACTTCTTTCTTTTTTCCTGAAGCATCTTTCATTTCTCTCAAGGCTCATATCTTTGCAGTTCATAACCCTCCTTAGCTTTCTGGCTGTTCTCCTCCTTGATGGTTTTCATCTCCTTTAGCTTATGCTGGATTTCTGCTCTGTGCTGAACCTGACGGTGCTTACTGATCCATACTGTCTAATACTGTTGACCTGTGTCTTGAGAGTTAAGAGTTAAGAGTTAAGTTAAGAGAGACTATGTGCTAGCTGCTTTACATGTATGGACTCATTTAGTTCTTGATTGGTAGACATTATTATCCTTATTTTACAGATGAGGAAGCCATCTCAGAGAAGTTAAATAATTTTACCTAAAGTTATGAGTTCACTGATCCATGTTTGAACTCACTTCTGACTAACTCCAAACATTGTTCCTAAAGTCAGCTATATTTCCTAGCACTGAACACATAATAGGCAAGGTACTTAAATTTTGGCACCATTTTAGCTGATAATTGGCAAATTTGTATGTGTGAAAAAATATTTGTGGGTGGAAATCAGGGTTTATCAGTAATTAAAATGGTGGGAAAGCTATGCTGGTTATAATAGACCAAAGGAGAAATGGGGCAGGGGAAAAGGGGTAGATAGGTTAAAGTAGAACTAGTGATAGAGTTGCATATCTAGGTGTTCCTCACTTGTGTTTGTTTCTTATCATTTTGCACACTTTATTTCTGATCCTGAAAGTAGAGATTTAAAGGTTAGATTCTAACTTTTAAAACATTCTGATCTTGATTTGGTGGTGAGCCCACTCATTAAGAGGTAGCCTTCTGTCTGTCTCCCCTACTGCCTTTAACATCAGCTTTTTAAGGTATGAATTATATACAATGTACTCATTTTAAGTGCACAGTCTGATGAGTTTTTTATAGCTGTGTTACCACTACTCCAATATATAGGACATTTTTCATTACCCCCAAATGTTGCCTTGTTCTTCTTTGTAGTTTATCTCATTCCACTCCACCGCTGATCTGCTTTCTGTCTCTATAGATTATTTTGCCTTCTCTATAATTTCATATAATTAGAATCATATAGTATGTACCCTGTTGTTTCTAACTTTTTTTTTTGCCTGTGGTACATATACACTACCTAAATCGGAATCCTGATATCTACCCTGGCTCTACCCTCCTTCAGCATTAAAGCACATGCCTTTCTGAATGTCTCCTCCCTTTGCAAGTTTTTAAATATACTGGTGGTGCAGATAACCCAGATTTATACCTGCTTGGAGCCATGTCTAACATGTTTTCTCTCATAGTCCTTTTTGTTCTTAGTGCAAGATTGGTGTAGATTTCTTTGGGGTGATTTTGTATCTCTAATATCTCAGCTTTGTTATGAATTAAGTAATCTAGTCATTTAAGATAAAGCTTAGATTATGAAAAGATTAGCCAGTATTTTACATACAGAATGGGAGAGATCAAAATCAGATAAAATCATGGGGTTTTGTTGTTTTTATATTTTTAGAAGATTTAAGAGTAATCTGCATACCTTTCTCTAACATTTTGCAAAATAGTTGTGTAGGTATTTTTTCTGTTGTCAAGTACCTCACTGATTTTAGGATTTTGGTGGTAGAGTTTAAGGTAACTACAGTACAGTTATTTATATAGATTATCCATATTACCAACATAATATTTGAGCTCATTTTTAGTAGAATTTTCAAATTATGATGAAAATAAACCTTCATTTAATGGGAATTTTGACCTGTGTGCAAAATTTTAGAACCAGTCATATTTGGAAAGTAAGGGACGGATATACTTGTAAACTCTAAGCAGGTGGTTTGATTGAGTTCCTGCCTATAAATGTTATATGATAATTAATTTTTAGGTATATATATCTATTATTTTTATGCTTGCCTTCCAGACTTTAAGAGATGGCTCTTTCTCTTTTCCCTTCAGAGTCTCCACAGCCTGTTGGCTCACTTGGGCATGATGCTGACTTGAGACGGCAGCAGCAGGATACCTCTAACTCTAGCATTGCTGACATCCATAGGTTGTTTAATTGGCTATCAGAAACACTAGCAAATGCACGTCATTCTGATGCATCCCTGACAGACACAGTCAACAAGGCCTTAGGATTGAGCTCTGATGGTGCCTATGAAGAGATGAGGCAAAAGCATGAATATGAGTTGAACTCTACCCTGGATAAGAAAGAATATGAGCAGCCTACTGGTGTAAAAATTGAAAGTGCACATTTTAAGGATACTCAGAGCCCACTGCTAGAAGTTGATACATCATCTTTAAAGTATCCTCTTGCTGTTTCTACCAGTGAAGTAGGCACTGACCATAAACTACATTTGAAAGAAGTAAGCCTATATCTATTGGTTATCTTTGTTTGCTTTTGTGAATGTGTGTATGAAAGGGAGGATGTGGGGGGAATTCCCTGGTGGCCCAGTGGTTGGGACTCTGCGCTTCCACTGCAGGGGGCACGGGTTCGATCCCTGGTCAGGGAACTAAGATCCCACATGCTGCATGGCACAGCCAAAAATTTTTTTTAAGAATTAAAAAAAAAAGGGTGAATGTGCTTGTTTTTCCTTTTCACAAAGAAATGATACACATTTCAGTAATGGTGTCTGTGCAGGATAGTATTTCTAAGTTTTTCCTTGTTACACAGAGATAAACGTGGAAGTGTTTTCCTTCCTGCTCATAAGCTGTATGTGTAGTCTGAAATTTACCATTGTGATAAAGTGAAGGCTGGACCATCTATTTGTCAGGAATGGCTTACTGGAGTTAATTCTCTATCATTTCATAATAAAATTGAGTCCTCAAAACACTGGCTTTCTGCTGGCAGTACCAGAACCCATAGGTGAGGCAGATGAGGTGACCAAAGTCAGTGTACCAGTTGGAAACAAGGTTAAATACTTTGTATTTCTCATGCAATGGAAGATGAGTGGCCTTTAGGATTACCTCTGAGGTAACCCTCAGCCATGCTTGACAGGGCATCCAGTTTATGATACGTGCTTAGAGTACTGATATCTAGCTGAGAAGTAGCCTAATCTCCCCAGCTCCCCCCTTCCCAAGAAGTGGCTGCATCACTTGGGGAACTGTACCAGGATGGCACCATGTTCCTAAAAACTTGTTCCTAATTTACTTTCTTCCATTTTTCTCTTCCCTGTCTTTGAGTAAAAGCCATATGCATCATGGGACTTCCCTGGCTGTCCAGTGGTTAAGACTCTGTGCTTCCACTGCAGGGGGCACGGGTTCGATCCCTGATCAGGGAACTAAGATCCTGTAGGCTACGTGGCTCAGCCAAAAGAAAACAATTTTTTTGAAAAGTCATATGCATGTCCCCAGGCTTTCTACATGTAGTTTTGGGATATTTATTTTATGGGGAGGATGAAGACAGGGATCTCAGTTGGAGGCATGTGTAAGGTAGGCACTAAGAAACTAACCTATATTGTTACCATTTCCTGACATATTTAAAACTCTAAATTGTGTTGATGGGGGCATGGACCAGACCCAGCCCACCGCCTATTTTTGTAACTAAAATTTGATTGGAACACAGTCATGCCCATTCATTTAGGTATTGCTTATGGATGCTTTTGCATTTCAATGGCAGAGCTGAGTATCTGGCCTGCAAAGCCTAAAATATTGGGTGCTTTACTGAAAAAGTTTACCAACCTCTGCTGTAAATCAACCAATTACGTTTTGAGAGAAAAAATTATGTTCTAGTTTGAGATTAGAGCATTATAACTTCACCATGTTGATTTTACTTGCTTGTAATGTTCAGGTTGAAGTTTGTAAATTTGCTGTGAAAAAATAGTTGTTTTTTCTTGACATTAAAATTAATTAAAAAGAAAGGTATTGAATCTGTACTCTAATTTTTAGGATCCAAATTTAATTAGCATGAGTAATTTTGAAGATTGCAGTTTGTGTCCCACTGTTCCCATTGAACATGGATTCCGTAGACAATCTAAGTCAAATAATGTTGAAGAGACTGAAATACATTGGAAACTGATTCCAATTACAGGTAAGAACAAGTATACTGGGACTTAGGTTTGCTTGGTTTTACTTAGGGACCAGTTTCCTGAAGGGTTTTGTCTTTTCTAGATTCCACTCTTGGGTCTTGCTTGGCTCTGACATCTTCAGTATCTTATTTTTGAGCAATGTGATATTCATCATTGAGTGTTGCTGTTCTTGGTCAGTATCTGCAAAAGAGCCTATTAAAAACAGAGGGATTTAAAATATCCTTACTCTCCCGATGGAGTTGAACATGCAACTTGCAAATGAAAATGGTTGTCAGAAATTGGGTTTCTAATAAGGTGAGGTAGCTGCAGAGATGAAATGAGGGTCTTTGGGCAGCCAATTATATGCTGTCTTCTCAAATTATTAAACTTCACAAGCTGTCGTCTAAGAAGTGGTCATGTTAAGGTTCATCTATTTGAAAGAAATTTGAGTTCTTAATATTGGAGAATTTGAGAGAAATTGGATCATTGTAGAGAATGGCCTGAAATGATTAAATGTAAATATCCCTAGAAAACTTATTGAACCATGAGGCAAGAATAGTTTAGCAGATGTTGAAAGATCATTTTGCAGTATTCTAATTTCTCTGTACAAACACATACACACACATATGCAGATACTGTTAATATTCCAAGTTCTTATTCATCTTCGTTAGCTAAGCATTTGGGGAAATATTTCCAGGGCACATCTTTTCCATTCCTAGATCTTTATTTAACCTTTAAAAAGGAAAAACAAACAGTTTTTGCTAGAAAGTCGACTGAAATATACTTTCTAGCTTGTGACCTAGAAGCTACTGAGACCTCCAAGGACTCTACAAAGAATTTCTAAAACTTGATGAGTTTCCATGGGCTTCAGCACCATTCTCTACTTAGTACCTTATCAGAGAGGGCAAGAGGCCTAGAAGTGATCGTAGAGCGGCAGTTGGTACTCCTGACCTGGAGAAGTTGGCTTGAGTTGGAAAAGCAGAATAGGGGAGTAGTCTGTACAAGGTGATTATCCTAACCTTCCTCATTTAGACACCTTCATAGCTGGTTTCAGAGCCATTTGAAGGCACAACATCTAGGTGTTGATATTCCATCATCACCTGAAATGGAAAGGGAAGCAACTTCCCATTTCTTAATGACCCTTCAGGATTATTTTAGGCAGAAGAGGGAATACTTGAATTTGTTAGCGTTTGGGGTTATCTGAAAGGTGCTTTAAAAGGTTGTCACCAGTACCTGAAGAGAGTCTACAAATCTAATGGATGCTTTCCCTCAGGAGGGAATGCAAGAAGCCCAGAAGACCAGCTGGGGAAACATGGTGAGAAACAAACACCAGGTGAGAAGGCTCTCTTTGCTTTTCCTCCCAATGTGCCCTTCTTCAGAATTGCTACTTGCAGTTCTGGTCCTCTATCTGGAGGGCATCAGTTTAAGTCTGTTAATGACAGAAAGTTTGGACAATATCATATTTGTATTTAAATCATTAATTGATTTATATCAAATATTCTTATACAAAGAATGTATTCAAGAGAGTCACTGAATATTCATAGAGATTAAGTTTTTTTGACCTACAGTAGATTCTGTCTGATATGATGACTTGGGAAGACCAGAATATTTTTCTTAATCCATTTCTACAGGACATCTTATGAGAAGCAGTCTTCGAGTTTCTCTTAAATTTAAAAAATACGAGGAGGTGAGGCCATGTATCATTTAGGTACATTATTCCTAATCTTGAATTTTTTTGACTCAATTCTTCTTTTGCTAATTGTAAAGCTAATTTCTGCAGATAGTCTAAGAGATTAGGAAACTTTTGGATTCCAGAAACATTTATAGATATTACTGATTAGCTAGTTGTAGTAGGTGCCTAGAAGACAGTCTCTTTTGTCTAAACTCAAGTCAATTCAGCATCCCTGCAGATGGCCATAGGCAGATTCTTCTTGGTTGGAGTTTGGTCTGCGTCTTTTTTGTTTCCATTTCATTTTGTCTTACTCTTTCAGAAATCTTGTGTTGTTGTTTTTTTTAATTCGGAAGAAAAGCTAAATGACTAATTTTAGTAGATCTTTATGGTTATTCCTCTCTTTTGGGAATTAAAAAAAACTTTGAGTTAATAGTTTTCTTCAAGATGATCTTTCTCTCCTCCTAGGAAAAGACGATTGAAAAAAAAACAAAGCGGGAAGAACAGATATATTGATATGACATACAGGAAAGTGCATAAATCTTTAGTAGACAGCTTGATGAATTCTTACATATGTAAACACTTAGGTGACCACGACCACCCAAATCAAGATGTAGAACATTTTCAGTACCCCAGCAGGTCTTCTTCTGCATCCTCCCAGTCAGTATTCTTCCTGCCCCAAACCGTAACCACTAATCTGACTTCTTTTGCTATACATTAGTTTTTACCTACTCTTGAATTTAAGATAGATGGAACCTACTACATATGTCCTCTTTTGGTTTTGGCTCTTTCACACAACAATATGTCTGAGATTCATGTAAGTTTTGCTTCTATCAGTGATTCTTTCTCATTGGGAGAATCAGGTATCTTGTTTATGCTTCATAATGCTCCATCAGCATCTGCAGTCTTTATTTGGCATACCGTCTTCATATTTTGTGGTTAAAAGTCTAAAAATCCAGGTGATGCTACTTTTTGAGAACTCGCCACTCCCCTTGCATTTAAAAGTCAAAGTACCACAATGCCTGAATGATAGTGAGTAGAAAACATGTATTATTATAGGTATTGACATATGTTTCTTTTAAATCATTTATTGAAGACATTTTAAAAATAATAAAGTTGTCCATCTTAATAATAAAAATTATATGGGGGAAATCTGTACAAAGTAAAATTAGATGGTGATCATTTGCATTTTCAAAAGGGATTTGGTTTAGAGTTTTTTAATATGGAAAATTTCCCATGTTGATTTAAGTTATATTTCAGCTTAAAAACATTTCCTTTATCCGTAGCCCTTCAGGAATAAGCTTACTGGGAGACTTCCCTGGTGGTCCAGTGGTTAAGACTCCACACTTCCACTGCAGGGGGCACGGGTTCGATCCCTGGTTGGGGAACTAAGATCCCGCATGCCTCGTGGTGCAGTTACTTAAAAAAAAATTTTTTTTAGAAAAAAAAATTTAGGAATAACTTTATTGGTCTCAACTATAGCTGAGATATTTGGGAGAATGTATTCAAATATTTTTAATAACAAACCACTCAGAAGTTTTAAAATTACACGTGGTCCTTCCCAGCTCATTTGTTTTACAAGATGCAAGTAAGACATTTTATCTGAATAAATCAGATATTTGACATGGTACATAATTCAAGAAATACAAAACTACTTCAAAAAATAAGTCTTCCACCCCTAGGCCAGACACTTAGTTTCACCCCATTGATCAACCTCTGTTACAGATTTTATTTTTTTCGTGGTGGTGTTTTTTTTTGGCCACGCTGCACAACTTGCAGGATCTTAGTTCCCCAACCAGGGATTGAACTTGAGCTCCAGCAGTAAGAGTGCCAAGTCCCAACCACTGGACTGCCAGGGAGTTCCCTGTTACAGATTTCTTATGTACTCATGCTGACATTTCACATGTGCACTAAACCCCATGTTGCAGATTTACAAAGGGCATTCAGTATTCCTGAATTATTTTATGGAAGTTGAATTTTCTGGTTTATCAATTTCATACAGTTGTAATTCTTACCCTGGTACATTGGATATTTTGCTCCCCTTCTCTTCTTTGACCTACAGACCTACTGTATGGTCTTACCATGCTTGACAGGTGCCTTTGCAGTACTTAATGGGTGCAGTGGTTCATGGTAACCGCTGGGGTTGGTAGCAAAATGTTATAACCTAAATGCTGCTTAGGCTGTTTAAACCTTTAGAAAAGTGTGAGTGTAGGGAAAATCAAAACGGAATTTTTTGTAGAGAGGGGTTACACTGCTATACCTGGGTGCAGACTTGAATAGGGAGTTCACTATATCTTAAAAGTACTATAGTTTTGAAAACTATACCTATGTGTGGACTTTCTGATCTAGAGGTAACATTTTATATACTACAACAGCAATTTGTTAGGGAATGTTGGCTAAGATTTAAGAAAAATTAGTACTTTTTTAAAGGATAAAATTGTATAATATGAACTTGTAGGGAAAAATAATGAAAGTTTGTTTTTTTGTGAAATAAAGTATTACTATAAATTGCTGTTAAATGTATTTTCCCCATGTTTTTTAAAAAGGGATTTAGGGTTCCTGTTTTGAAATGTAGTTTCAAGAACATATGTGTTTGAATTTAGGATTTGTGAGTGGAAAAAAGTACGTTCTTACGGATTGAGCTAGTTGTCAAGGATCACGGGTTATCGTACTTTCATTAGCATCAGCTAGCTTGATGATGTCTTCATCTCATATGGGGTAAATAGCTATTATGATTTCTCTTGGAATGATTTCCAAACAAAATAAAAATACTGAACAAAAGTGCTATCAAAAGTATTACTGTTAATGCAGCTATGAAATGTGTTCTCTTCCTATATGACTGAGACTTTCTTTTCCTGATAAATTGAAGTCCCTAACATTGTAGCAAATCCACTAAGCAACCCCATATGTAAGAGCAAATCTGAAAACAGATAAAATTAATTATCCTAGATCCTGAATGCAACTCTTAACTTGATGACTTATTCCCACAGCATTTCAGCTTGGCATTCTTTCAGTTGCCTTACACTCAGAATTTTCCTATTAAGAGGGTATTACCTTAGTGGACATTACTTGGCAAAGAATATAGGGGTTGAGCAAGCTGTTGAAACTGACTATTCTGCTTAAAGCATGTCTGTTAAAGTCAGATCTGCAGAAAGGTAGGGAAGCAGAAATAAACAAGTGACTTAATTTGTATTGATGTTAAATTGGCCCTTGTTTGAATACTTCAAAAGGAATCAAAGAAAGTAACATTCAGACTTGCCGCTCTAGCTACTGAAATACAAAGACCAGCCATAAATAAGTAGGGCACATAGGAAATAGGTTCACACCATTATCTGAGGTTTTTATTCTACCTTCCAATGCATAGTTTGTTCTAAATATATACTTGACCTGGCATTTTTTTTCTTTATTAGTTTGTATTTTCAGATGTTATTATTTTGGATTGCTTTTGTAATAATAAACTCTTCCCATATAGGTATGAAATCACCAGAAGAACAACTGGTGTGTCTGCCACCACAGGAGGCCTTTCCTAACGACCCCCGGGTAATAAGTAGACAGAGAAGTTCTGATTATCAGTTTCAATCCTCTCCATTTACAGACACACTAAAGGGCACCACTGAGGATGACGTGTTGACAGGTCAGGTGGTGACAGTGGAGGAGCAGTGTGTGCCAGCAGCAGAACCGCCTGCAATGAGTGAAACCACAGAAAGGACAGTGTTAGGAGAGTACAGTCTCTTTTCTAGGAAGATAGAAGAGATTCTGAAGCAGAAGAATGTTTCATATGTCAGCAGAATTTCCACACCTACCTTTTCAACACAAGAGAAGATGAAACGGCTTTCTGAGTTCATATATTCTAAGACTTCCAAAGCTGCTGTACAGGAGTTTGTAGATGGCTTGCATGAGAAACTAAATACTGTTATCAAAGCATCAGCCAAGGGTGGGAATTTGCCAGCAGTCAGTCCTAATGATTCTGGTACTAAGATAGCATTGAGTCCTCTGGGAAGGCATGTCATACCAGTCTCCTCAAGCGACTTCAACAATAAACACCTCCTTGAGCCACTTGGTAGTGATCCTCTGAAAGACACCAACTCTAATGAGCAGCCTTCCTCTTCGGCTTTGGGTTTAACTGAAGCAGAAGTGAACCAGCCACACCATGCCACAGAGCCAGTGGTGACTTCTGATCATACTGCCCGGGAACCAGTAGAAAAAGAAACAAAATCGCCCAGTGATGTAAACATTTCTGCCCAACCAGCTCTTTCAAACTTTATAAGCCAGTTAGAACCTGAAGTATTTAACAGTTTGGTTAAAATCATGAAAGATGTCCAGAAAAATACTGTGAAATTTTATATTCATGAAGAAGAGGAGAGTGTGCTCTGTAAAGAAATAAAGGTAACTAAATGAGAAGGTAATTGTAATGCTGTCTAAACTTCTCTTGTTGGGTCTGAGCTCTATAAAATGGATTTTTGTTTTTAGGTGTTGACCATATTATTTTCATAATTTAATGCAGAGTGGAATAAAAGACTAGTAAGTTTCAACTGAATTTAGAACCGGTGATCTAAATGTCTTAGAATTTTTAATCTTGTTTTGCATAGTGTCATTTTAAAGACCAGTTGTATACATATTGCAGATACCTTTAAATTGTTGATTTAAAGATTTTCATTGTTTCTTACTGGGTTTTTAACAAAGGGGAGGGAAAGATGCAGAGGAGTAAAGGAAGTTGTCAGTGTTTACCTCAGGGGGTTTTATCAATCAGGTAGAAAAATAAAACTCCAGGATGACCTAATGATGATATATTTTGGCATTTCTTGATACCCTGGTCATGCCAGGTTTCCCAATAGCCCTTATTATCAAAAAACATGGTGATCCTGAAACACTTCCCCAGTCATGAAAGATTCGTCCTTGCAAGGTATGTGTTTTGTACTGAAGCTATGGAGTAGACCGGCGTTTCAGGCATTTGGTTTAAAAAAATACACACAGAGAGAGAGGTATGTAAAATCTGTAGCAATAGGTACGTAATTTATAACACATGGGACAATTAGTGGTTTAATGTTGCCAATTAGTATTCACTAAACTGTATAGCATTTTAATTCCTTAAGGGAATGCCTTGGGTTTTTTTGTTTTGTTTCGTGTTTTTTTTTTGCGGTATGCGGGCTTCTCACTATTGTGGCCTCTCCCGTTGCGGAGCACAGGCTCCGGACATGCAGGCCCAGCGGCCATGGCTCACGGGCCCAGCCGCTCCACGGCATGTGGGATCTTCCCGGACCGGGGCACAAACCCTGTCCCCTGCATCGGCAGGCAGACTCTCAACCACTGCACCACCAGGGAAGCCCGGGAATGCCTTAGTTTTTAAAATAAATGCCTGCTCCTATTTATGGAATTTACTTACCATGATAAGTTTCTGCTTTTTTAGTTAGAGGAAGCAGAGGGGACTATAAATAAGTGGCGTATAGCCAGAGTGGCCCAGAAACTCCATGCTTTGACATGTCCTCAGCCTTTTGTCAGTTTGAGGATCTCTTTGACGTCAGCATGTTTCATGTGATGTGTTGATGAGAATGTGAAGAGCATGGAAATGGGGGCAACAGAGTGCTCAGTGTGCTGCCTTTACCAATTCCCTGTAGTTTCTTGGGAAGATGAAACCAGACTTACCAGGAATTTCTTGGTTGCATTTTTGCCCTGTATGATTGAACATTGAGCTTCTCAACATTCTTCCACCCCCAGCAACATGTTTCCAGCTCTTTGGGGCATAGCTACATGGTGGTGTAGGGCTAGATGAGAGAGTGGGTTGGGCACAGTTCCCAGTGTGCTCACCATTACTCCATCTCCTCCCACTGCATTTTAAAAATTGATTGTAACACACTTGTGGGAAATGTGTTTACTTACTAATGGTGCTTTTAATCCATTCTGGCTTAGAATAAATCATATTTCTGCTATTTATTTTATGTAGAAGAAGAAAAGGATGCTGTGTGTTTTATAAATATGATAGGAAATCAGATCAGAACTTTTAATTCTTTTAATCAATATCCATTGGAAATTTTCTAGCAGAAATGTTACAGTATAGTACAGGACTTTATGAATTAAAATTTTAAACTTCCTAAATATTTCTGGAGTCAAATTGACTTGTTACTTTATGAGTTAAAGTGTCTTATTTAACACAAACTTGCATTTAAAATTTCTTAATGTAAAAAGACCAAAAATTACAAGCAGGCCTATCAGACAATAATTTACTTTTTCATAACTTGATTGTAAACTGCTCTGAGATTTGCCCAGAGGCTTTAGAAGTTAGAGCAAAATCAAACACTGTAGAAGATGCTTCTTTAGGGCTACATAGAAGCATCCTCTTTGGGTGTGACACTTGTAGACAGCTCTTGAAAGACTGATTGTGAGGCAACCTTGGTTTAGATTTATGGTTATCTAACCAGCGTGCCAACCTTGAGAAAATTAATCTGCTCCTGTATCTCTGAAATGAGGAATGTGACCTTCAGAATCCTGCAGTTTGCTTCAGAGTTCAGGATTCCCCCAGCAAGCAAAGAGAATTCTGCTGGGACTGGCTCTCTTGTGTCCTTTGAAAGGTAGTACCGTGTCAGCAGCATGGAAGGATGTGTTAGATGGGAGAGTGTTTTGTTTAAAGATGTAAACTTGACAGGCATGGCTAATTAATATGTAAGTAACGTTGTACATACTGAAGCTCTGTATGAATGATCCTGGGGCTGTTGTGAGTTAAAGGAACTACAGTAGTCATAAAAGTGCTTTTTAACTCTGAAGGAGTATACCGGTAACACTGCTGCAGAGAATCAAGGGCCTGCTTCAAAAGGAAAGGAAAATGGGAGTGAGAGAGTGGTTAACGACTGAGCTCTGGATTGCCCAGAATAAGTAATAAGAGTTAAGAACCTGGGCTAATCCATTGTTTTTCTGGTTCTGTTACCCCAAGCTAGCATTTACTTGGCTTTGACTGCATAGCGTCGTAACATTGTGATTGTGACCAGTTAAGGTCTGAGCTTCAGAGTCTTCTCTAAGAGTGGACTTGATCTCTGAGGTCCCTAGTGTAAGGGCATCATTATTAGTGGTCTAGTAGTAGTTAAACTTAACTACTTTATCTTGCATTTCTCGTGTTAAATGGATGTTTGCAAAAAAGCTTTTAAATGTTGATTTAGTTTTTTTTCTTTAACAGGAATATCTTATTAAATTAGGCAATACAGAGTGTCATCCAGAACAGTTTTTGGAAAGAAGATCAAAATTAGATAAACTATTGATTATTATTCAAAATGAAGACATTGCAGGTTTCATTCACAAGGTAGACTATTAAGCTGAATTCTTTGCTTATTTTGGTTGTAAAAAATCCCTACTATCTTTGAGACTAAAGCTGTTTGTTTTTAAAATATCCTCATAAGCTTTAAAGGAGATAAAACTTTGAGGTTGGGAGGTTTAGGACTTGAGACCTAAACTACCCTCTGTGAATCAGCTCATGAGATTCATATTTATACCTCTACAAAATTTTAAATTGTGGCATATCCCAGATCTTAACCTATCGCTTAAATGGTCAAGACTAAGAATACTGACTCCTTGAATGCCATTGGGTCTGCTGACTCTCTTTATATTGTTATCACCTTTATTTGTATGTGCTAGGTAAAACCTGTTTGTACCCCCTGTTTGCTGAAGCAGTCCCCCTTTCCCTTGGGTTTGGAGGTACCCCGTCTAGTCTTAGGAGACTGTCTCAAGTCCTACTGCTCTTTGAAGTCTTTCCTGACTGTTTCAGTCCGTAGGCTGTTGCCTCATTTGAATTCGGACTGTACTCACAGGGCCAGGCAAGTTAGCATTTGTTATTCTGTGTTTCCAGGTCTCTTGTTAAGTGCCTCTTCCTTAGAGAGTTCTGTTCAAGGTAGATGCCCAGTACATAAATGTTGGTTTGTATATTTAGAAATAATGTTGGAAATATTGTTTTTGTGCTTGACTTTGCAGAGACAACACACTAATATAGGTGAGCCATAGTACATCTAATGTAGGTTACTTCACACTTGAGTCTGTCTGTCCTTATTTCTATTTTTATTTTGGTATTTAAATAGGTACCTGGCTTGGTGACTTTAAAGAAGCTTCCTTGTGTTAGTTTTGCTGGTGTTGATAGTTTGGATGATGTTAAAAATCATACATACAATGAGTTATTTGTATCTGGAGGTTTTATCGTTTCTGATGAATCCATTCTCAATCCAGAAGTAATCACAATTGGTAAGATTTATTTATTCTTTTAAGCATGTAACATGTCTTTTCTAGGTTTTTCTCATTAGTGACTCACTCATACTTTAATGCATTGTCCATTCTGCCAGTCACAGATAACTAGTACATTTCCATCATTTTTTGAGCTTTTATTACCTCAGATTTCTTTCCCATTCTTTTACTCTTTACGAATAATTTCCTCTTAAGTCTGGTATAAAGCAGGGCTCTCTGTACCTACTTCCCTTGGATTACTTTTGGTTTGTTATTGTTATCAACATGTTGTTTTTTTGTGTGTAGATGTTATGTTCTTAGATCTCAAAGAGGATGTATAGATCTGTCTCCCTTAGAGGGGAAAAAAGAGAAAGAAAATACTACATAGGAAAGTAGGTGTTCCTACATGATATCAACAAACACTTCTTCCTTAATTCAGTTGTGGAGTGGGTGACTTGTTTATTGAATTTAAAATGAACTTCATTATCTCTAACAGAGAACCTTAAAAATTTTTTGACATTCCTCGAAGAACTTAGTACTCCAGAAGGAAAATGGCAATGGAAAGTCCACTGTAAATTTCAGAAAAAACTAAAGGAACTGGGCAGGTAAGGTTTGAAAAATAACTATATATTGGTTGTTGATTTTAACATTGTGTTCACAGAATTTTGCTATTTTTTATATGTTTGTAAATTATAGATGCTGCTCAGTTTTCACAGATGTCTTTTGCCAGCCGTAAGGGAATGTAGATGCTGAATTATTCTAGCCTGTTTGAAAATGATATTCTTGTTTATGTAGAGGTTTGTTGAAGTTCTAGTTATGTATAGAGATAAAATTGGGTTAAACTTTACCATTTGGGTTTAGAATAATAATCAAAACGGGATAATCAGCATTCTTTATTTTTTTATGGAACTGTACATGCCAAGTAGATCAGGCCCTCTCCTAATTGTTAATCTAATAATATTACACATATGAGACAAGGATTAATCTTGACATGATAAAGGGATCTATGATTAAGACATTCATTTATGTAATAAGTGATTTCTAACATGCCCAGAAGTCACTTCTCAAAACATGATTCTTGGAGCACTAGTCCCTTGAGAGGCTCTGCAAATGACTCTTATAATCAGATGAGTTTAGGATACTATATCCTACTACTAGAGTCCATATAATGTACTTATTTACACATTTGAAGATCTGAGAAACTTTGTAGTTAAGGATCCTGTTTTACATTTTGTCAGTCAGCATTTCTGAAACCTAGACCGCAAAACATTTTTTTCTTCTAATACCTATTGATATTCCATCAGACACACTTAGGGAAATTCAGGCTTTAGTAATTTTAAATTATTTAACTTTTTATTTTATTTCATTTTCTAAAAACTTGTTTTATCTTCAAATCATGTGAAGTAAGCATTGGGGAAGTCTTATTTTTATATAACAGATAGCAATACTGAGGCCCGGAGGTATAACTTGTACAAATTAGTACCGTCATCTTCCTGACAATAGCCCGTAATTTCTACCACATGTTGCCTTTACCACATGTTGCCTTGCATCTGGAAGTATAGAAATAGCTCAGAGCCATGTTATTTTTTGAAGGAAAGATTTATATTTTTTTGTCCTTTTACACCCTTCATTACAGTTCTAAATTAGTGAAGCTGAAGAGAAGTGTAATTTATTTAGTAAGTAATAAGTTGAGATTTTTGTCTGAACTGAATAGCTGGCCCTCAGGCTTTGTACCCAGAGAAAGCCCCTGGAGTTACCCGTGGATTGCACAGTTCCTGCTTTCCCTCTACTAAGAAGCACCTGTACATCAGGCAGTGAGCTAAGCAGTGCAGTTGTCATTAGTTGCCTCAATTGAGAAATTATGGCTTTAATTTCAAGTGAAAACGTCCATACTAAATTTTAGAAATGCAGATACAGATACTGAACTACTTAATTTCACAGATTGAATGCTAAAGCACTGAGTCTGTTGACCCTTCTGAATGTCTATCAGAAGAAACATCTGGTTGAAATTTTGTCATACCACAACTGTGATTCACAAACTCGAAATGCTCCAGAATTGGATTGCCTTATCAAACTTCAGGCTCAAAACATACAGCAACGACACATAGTCTTTTTAACAGGTAAAGAGAGTGCTCTTAAGCTTTCTACTGTGAATACAGGAATGTGTATGAAAGGATTTTGTGGGACTGTGTTGGGTGTTTCTGAAAATGTGGAGGAAAGGATTTTGGAGGGCTGGAGGCAGGCATTATCATTTTATATTTGCAAGTGTTTTACACTCAACTTTTTTTTTTTTCAATTTAGAAAAGAGTATCAAGATGCTTTCCAGTTATACCGATAATGGAATAGTGGTTGCGACTGCTGAAGACTTTATGCAAAACTTTAAAAATCTTGTGGGCTATCACAACTCAATCACAGAAGAAAACCTTCCTTTGCTTGGTGCTAATGAGAATCTTGAGTCGCAGTCAGGTAACTTTTCAGTAGTTTTCATTTTCTTTAAGGCAGACAGAAAAAGAATGGTTTTGCTTTGATTTCATATAATGAAATGCTAATTTTGAAACTGCTCTCACCTCAGTGTAAACTCAGCTTCAGGGGAAGTGTTTCAAGGCATTTTACTTAGCATACACAAAATCTGCTCATTTATTATACTATAGTCAGTGTTTGAGTTAATGTAGACTGCATACTATAGAGTAGGCATTTTCTTTTTGAGGGTATGTAAGCTTTATTGGCTTCTGTTGTGAATTAAAGCAGTTTAATTACAAGGTAGTAGAGATATCCATAGCTTTAGTCTTGTGTGAGATGGCCTTTGCTTTGGTTCCAGATTTTATGTAAAATGAAAGATGTACTTTTGTTTTTGAGGAAAAGCAGAGATGTTCGAACATTTGATACAGCTAACCAGTTTAGTAGTAATCCAGTGAAGCTAGATGTCAGAATTTTTATTTTATATTTGTCTTGTCGAATACTGAATTACCGTATAACTTTAGATGCTGTTTTGACATTAACCCCTTTGGAGCTGGGAGTTGGGATTTCCCAACATTAAACGTGAACACATTTCGCAGAAGCTTTTAGCATCGGATTATCTGGACATTCACACCTAGTGTGAGTGTTGTGACTAAGTGAACTTGTGGCAGAAGACCAAGCTTTAAGGGATTGTGGACTTGCAGACCCTGACGCATTATATTGTGTGAGTAGTGTATAATTTTAAAACTTAAACAAATTGTGTATTTCAATAGAGGAGGACTTTTTGTTTTTTAAATGTAGCTCTTTTAGAAAACGATGAAAAGGACGAAGAGGATATGTCTCTGGATTCAGGGGATGAAATCTCAAAAATAGAAGTATGCAGCAATTTTCATTCAGAAATGTTGGAGAAAGAGACCAAAGGATCACGTGGAACAGATCAAAAAAAGAATATTCAAATTGAGTTGCAATCGTCTCTTGACTTGCAAAAACGTTTATTAGAAGAGAAGACTTATGAAATTGATTCTGAAGAGAGAGCTTCTATTGATATAGTATGCTCTGAAGGAGAGAACAGTAATTCAGCTGAACAGGATTCATATAGCAACTTTCAGGTTTATCACAGTCAATTAAATATGTCCCATCAGTTTAGTCATTTTAATGTTCTCACTCATCAGACATTTTTGGGGACACCATATGCCCTTTCATCAAGCCAGTCTGAAGAAAGTGGAAATTACTTTTTATCTGCTTATACTCAAAACTTGGATAGAGAGAAATCTCCATTAAGTTGGTGGAAAAGTGATACTTCCAGGCCGTTTTCAAAAGAGAAATAATTACAGTAACTTTTTTTTTTTAAGTAGGTTGTTATGGACTTTTTCTGTTTCTTAAAAGTGAATTCACAATTTATATTTCATTCTCTAAACAAAAGGTTTCTTTTCCTTTCGCAAATGTTTTTTTTCCTCTTATTTAAATCATGATGGCCTGTAACAGTTGAAGCATCTGAAAATTGAAATAAATATATATTTTTAACATATTGTACTTGAATTATCTCATATTGGCACTTTTACGTTTTACACTTATGTCATCTGTACTTTGGCTTCAAACTGAAGCCTGTTTTATATGTAAAACTAGATAGTTGCAAAAGGATTAGTGAACAATGGCTTTACTTTTTTTTCCCTCTAATGTCAATGATCCCAGCTACTTTTGCTGAAATGATATATCAACTAATGCAGCATTTGCTACTTTTGCTGAAATTATATATCAACTAATGCATTTATTTTAAGCTTTTTGTATAGTGCTTTTACACAGGTATAAGCCAGTGATGTTAATATTTACACGATTTTGGCTCAATACCTCAAGATTTATTGAACAAAGCCATTTCATTTAGATGATAAAACTATGTACATTTAGGACTTAACACCAGGCAGCATTATTTTTTATTTTTAGACAACCATGTAAAATCACCTGTTGCTAAAATTTTGGTCAACCTTTTATTTGAGAATATTTGATAATTACAATTTTCAGTGCTTGTGTGGTCCTTAAACAAAAACCTATCTATCTTTTGAACTATGAAACTGAATTTGGTTATTAAAGGCATTAAACAATTTGAAATAAACTTTGCTGTAGATTTTTAAATTGTTAGAAAAATGTAAGTATATTTTTCAGGTGGTAAGCACTTAAGTGCTATATATACTAAAGCTAACTTTTTAAATTCACAGATAAAAGTACATGGTGAAGATAAATTTTAAATCCACATGTATTGCTAATAACTGCCTCTCCATTACTAATACAAACTTGTAAATGTTTTTGAAAACTGTAGTTTCTACAATAAAAGAAGTCATTAAAAAAAGGACTTAAAAAAATTTCCACGTAAGCCTAAACTGAATCTGGGCTACTTTAGTAAAAGTAAGTATGTCAGACCTTCCTTTGGCACCTCAAAAGAACTTTGAGTTCTACTCTTTAAAATCTTTTTATAGAGCAAAATATCTAAGTGATATTTTAATAAGCTACATGTAAAAATTGTGGAAGAACACTGTAAACTCCAGACTGTGTTAAGGTAAGTAAGTAGATCAATACCTCAATACCCACATTGTGATGAGCAGAAAAAAAAAAATTTTTTTTTTTTTTTACTACTTTTTTACAAGTGTCTTGTTTTATTGTTTTTTTATACACACATACTTTACTACATAATGTACAAGTTTTAAATAAGCATTTTAAAAAGAAATCTAGGCTATTTGATAAATACAGTTAAGCAACAACCAATCTCACATTTCATAATTTGGAAGACAAATAAAATGTAAAGGATTTGATTTTCTACATTTAAAACGAAGAACTAAAATTCTCTTCTTGATTTGCAGCTAAAGGCATGAGATTAGTTTCCAACTCTCTTTGCTTCTGGAGAAGGCCCTGAAATCATATTGATGATATGTTAGTACGGTGTGCAGCAGACGGGCAAATTATTCCTATTTTACCTTTCTCTCTTGTTAATACAGAACTATATTTACTTTGAAAACACGTATTACGCTCAGTTACTTGGCCATAGCTTAAACGTTATCTTTGTCATGTTCAACTCAAGAATTTTCAATTTTTACACCAGACTTTCTCACTTGGATACTGTGCAGCTATCACACATTTGTAAGATTATATTTTTAGCCATACAACCAATAGAAATGACCTTTCTTAAAACCATGTCTCCTAACTGTGGGGCTGAACACCACCTCTTTCCTTTTCCCCAAATGCTCTTAAAATGGTCATGAGTCTCCCTAAATGGTCATGAGTCTCCCTTTAACACCCAGTGTTTATCTTGACTGCATTAACCTTAGTGGCTAGTACAAGGCCCTGCTGAAGTAAGATACGGTCACTATATAGGTGAAGGTGTATACATCACATTCCTTTCTCTTAAGCTACAACTTTTGTCTCTACTAAGCTAGAATATACCTTGTCACTTTAAAAAGAGGTTTAAGTAAAATCTTCACTGTGTGAATTACCAAGCTTGAGTTACAAAATTCCATCCACATGTAACCAAAGCTACAGCATTTAAAAAACTAAGGGACACTTTATAATCCTGGGTTAGTGGGGGTGATTTTCTAGTTCTATAAGAAAGAATTGTTTAAGCAACACTTGAATCAACAATTTGAAATGCAGGACGCATTCATAAATGACTGGACATGGAAAAGGGTAATCCTAAAACTACAGTTTATTTTCCCCAAATACACAAAGTATACTGTGAATCAAAGCTAATCGTAAAACCAGTTTTGCAAGTTTTTTTTTTTTTTTAAGCACAGGGACAGGTGTTTTTTTGTTTTTTAAGGTCAGCCGGTAGAGAACAGTTATAGCCTTAAATATTTGATGTGTTACCTGATTTTATTTTTATCTGAGCAGATAATGAGTCAAAATTGGTCTGGGAGAAAAAGTAGTCTGGTAAGATTATACCTGTAATTTCATTATATTACTCTTTGGGACTTGTGTCAAGTTCTATTCCAAACACAGCCAACACGTTCAAAAAAATGTGAACTGCATTACTAAGAATTAAAGCATAACTGTATTTATTTTCTGCCTTTGGTTTTAGGGCCTTATTGATCATGCTTTGCCATTTCAAATGTATGCCTTTTTTCATTCAATAAAGTTGTCTTAATATTCAAAATGTCTCATGATTTCATGCCGGAAAGAAACAGTCTTAGAGATGGCAATGTGAAAGAAATAGAAAGAAAGTTGTGTTTTTTTAAAAAGAATCAGCACCTGTACATTAAACTGACATGTGGTGAAGTCACATAAGTCATGCGATGTTTAGTAAAACTGGTAAAACACAGCCCTCCACCAGAAAATGGTCACATCCAAACTTTGGAAGAGCTCATACCTGTCTCAGTTCTGACAGTCCCTTAAGGATTGCTTGCTGTCGATCCCTGTTTTTCACCAAGTTAGGATTAAGAAGTGGGTCCCTGAGATGGTCAAAAAGCTGTTCTTGGTCACAGTCTGAAGCCAGATAAAAATGACAAAAATTCAAATACATTTATAATATGAATAGCCCTATGCTATAACATTCTATGGATTCATTAATAAATTTATATCCTAGGAAAGCACCAAGTAAAATTTAAGTAATAAATATTCAATAAAAATTTTAACAATTGACTCCAAAAGACAGAAATTTTTTCCACCTCTCGTGGGGCAATTTGGATTTTTAATTGGGGGGGGGTACACTTATATTTACTTACCATGTAGATTTTGGTACTGAGGATCCTGGGTTAAAGGCCTAGACAATGGTGCATCTGGATCAAGGTAATAGATCTCATTGGTTCGGACATAGGGAATAAAATGAAATGGTTCAGAAAACCCAGGTGATAATTCTGTTTGACTATCTCCTGAGATCACATTCTCTCTTTCATAAGTACTGTTTTTTAGTGTCTGAGTTTGCTGCGTTCTGGTTTTCACTGCCGGAACTGGTGGTGATTGAGACCTGTATTTTTCCAAAAAGCACATTAAGGGACTTCTTAAAAAGCATGAATGAAAAACTATTTTATTTTAGATTAAGCATATTCTATTCTTCAATCACATTTCAATTTATTCTAAATGTACCTATAACACCTTTAGGAACACTATATGTAAGAGGCTTGAGTTCTATGATACCATTTCCTAAAACAGGGCAACAAAATGGGATTAATTTGGGGTTTACTAGTACTTGCTGAGGATATATATATGCTAGAACAGGGAGAAATTTACTAGCTTCTGAGGATCAACGCTACCTGAGTTAATTTAAACCTAATGTTTCTCCTTAGATAATTCACCATAAAATAATATACTTACCGCCTAAACTAAACTTGCTATTAGAGCCATATTCAGAGACAGCTTAAACCAGCCGGTTTGTGCACAAAAGTACAGAATAAAAATTCTAACAATTTAAAATCTCCCACTGGTTAATTTCTCATTATCCCTACCAGTCATTTATTCCCTACCCCCTCAATCCAAGCGGAACGTCTATTCCACTGCTGACATATCTGGAAAATCAAAACTGTTAAAGTCTGAAGATAACAAAATATCACCCACATTCCTGCTTAGGATGCCTGGGTCCAGTCCAATTTGGACCTTCAAATTCTAGGTAAAATGCCAGACAGACACCCTTTCCCTTAAACCTCTATTCACCTGAAGTCACAAACTTTCCTGTTACTGTCTTCACAGACATGCATACATGCTTGATCTCACCTATATTTTGAACAAGTATTTTATATCACACAGAAAGCACTAAGTACGAAATCCATAACATACCTTTCCTTGTTGAAAGAATTAATTATCTGAGGTTCTTCTTCCTAAATGATAGACAGGAGTTAACAGTGTTTCCATACGTCCCCACAAATGTTTTTAGTGGTGGTTGAAATAATCTGAGGATAATATTTGAGTAACACATACTGGATAATAGGATAGGAGAGGCTTGGTACTTCTCCAGAGTCAGAGAAACCAATCCAGTAATTCCTGACCTTGTAAATTATCCTCTGTCTATATGGACTATAAACAAGAGTTGAATGGGTATCTGAATAAAGAATAGCATTAATCTATACAGGGTTTAAGTGTAAACACTTGGCTTTGTGAGCCATGTGGTCTCTGTTGCAACTACTCTAAACTCTTCTTGCAGCATGAAGCCAGCCACAGACGATAGGTTAAAAAAAAATGAGCATGGCTGTATTGCTAAAAACTTTATTTGCAAAAGCAGGCAGCAAGATGGATTTGCCTATTGGCCATAGTTTGTTGACCCCTGCTGTAAACTACAGCAAATTTCTAGAACTCTTATTCACACCCAGAATAGCCCTGTCAAAACAAGCATGTGTGGAACTGTATTCTCATTCTAAAAACTTCAATACATGCTTTAAAATATTTTTCTAGACAGAAGAGCTTTACCTTTTTGACTAGCTGCCACCTGAAACTTGGTTCAGTTTCTTGAGATGAATGAAGAACATCTGGTGAAGTGACTCTATTTTGAGAGAGGTGTCCAGGATTATTTCTTTCTACCAAATGAAGCAGTTCCATCTGCCTTCTCACTCTTTTTTCTTCTCTCAGCTTTTGAAGCTGTTTAGGGTACTTTTCTGATGCTGGACTATACCGTCTCGGTGGTTTGTTTGTATTCCAATCAGGCCTTTTAGGACACTTCTTCGTATGTTTTGTTTGCTTCTCTGTTCTTGTGAACTGATTACACTGGTCATTATAACTGTTTTCTTTTTCTAAGTTGGCTCCGTTATCATGACTTACTCGTTCTTGCTGGTTCTTCCTAGTGTTAAACTGTTCATTAAATTCTGCAGGAATCTCAGGAGATGAACAGTTTATAATTTCCCTCTCTATTACCGATCCACAGCATGATTCTATATTGGTAAATATTCCAGCATTTAAGTCATCTAAAAGAAAGTTTCAGATGATTAATTTTTTAAAAATTGTGGTAAAACATACATAATGCAAAATTTACCATTTTAACCATTTTTTCAAAGGCATTAAAACTGCCCTCTAAAACTCTGGTTTGAAAATTGAAAAAAAAAATTCTATACCCACTAAACTCCCCATCCCCTGCTTCCTGCCAGCTCATAGCAACCACCATACTACTTTGTCTCTATGACTGTCTCTTTTTGTGACTTCTGTTAGCATAATGTCCTCAAAGTTCATCCAAGTTGTAGCATGTGTCAGAATATCCTCCTTTTTAAGCCTGAATACACACACACACCATAAAACATTCCACTGTATGTATATACCACATTTTTGTTTATCCATTCATCTGTCAAGGGACACTTGGGTTGCCTCCACCTTTGGGCTATTCTTCAAGACCTTACTTTTTTCAGTTCTGACTACACCCAGAAGTGGAATCGCCAGACCATATAGTAATTATAAATTTTCTGAGGAAATGCCATTCTGTTTCCTTTAGCAGCTGCACCATTTTACATTCCCACCAACAATGCACAAGGGTTCCAATTTCCCTAAATCTTCCATTAAACCAGATTTAAGTGTACAATTCAGTGGCACCAAGCACACTCATGATGCCACACAATTACAGACCCCCATCATCACCTCAAGCAGAAACCCTGCACCCACTAAGCAGTAACTCCCCATTCCACCCTCCTTCCCAACCCTCAGCAACTTCCACTCTACTTTCCACTTCTGAATTTGTCCACCCAACTCTAAATTCCTTACACCAGTGGAACTACACAATATTTTTGTCTCCCTGCACAACTGCCCCCCCGCCCCTCACGTCCAGCTTATTTCACTCAGCGTAATGCCTTCACGGATTATTCAAGCTACAGCACATATCAGAACTTCAGATGATTCGCTCTTTATTTTTTTATTTTATTTTTGGCTGCGCTGGGTCTTCGTTGCTGCACATGGGCTTTCTCTAGTGGCGAGCGGGAGCTACTCTTCGTTGCGGTATGTCGGCTTCTTACCGTGGTGCACGGGGGAGCACGGGGTCTAGGTGCGCCGGCTTCAGTAGTTGTGGCACACGGGCTCAGCAGTCGTGGCTCGTGGGCTCCAGAGCACAGGCTCAGTAGTTGCAGCACATGGGCCCAGCTGCTCTGCGGCATGTGGGATCTTCCCGGAGCAGGGATCGAATCCGTGTCCCCCGCACTAGCAGGGCGGATTCTTAACCACTGTGCCAACAGGGAAGTCCTCATCTAACTTTTTAAATGTATCTCATATACCATCATGCTATGCCTCCAGGCCATCCCTGAATCACATATAACCTTTTACTTTTTTCCATTTTGAAAACAGGAAAAGTTCACCATTCAAACATCTAAAATCTCCTTAAAATTTACATAATGTTCATGATTATATATGTGTTCAGCTATCACAACAGTTGAGCAACAAAATTACTTTGTTGCTCAAAAGGCTTTTTTTCACATATGATTAAAATTTTAAATTCAAAATTAGCTAAAAAAAAGTCCAATTATTGCTGTAAGTGTGTTATTCCAGACTAGAGCTGGCCAGGACTAATCCTAGTAAGGCTGCCCAGCCTACATCATTTTCATACTGGATATCCTTTTTTGCCACTCTAGACCCACTTTGCACCTTTCTCTCCCCTGCTCTCTGCCCTAGCAGGCTGACTGGTAAGAACCTTATCAATGGGTTCCTGGGTCCTCTGGTTTCTGTTTCTGTCAGGAGTGTTCATATGCAGATTATAGGAAGGGAAAAGAGTGAATTCAGGATACTTATCCCACTGGCTCATTCCCTGTAAGCTGACCTCAGGCTGACTCTATCCCTTTACCAAAGGTTCCCCTCAAAGTTACCTCTATACAACGCTTGTCTTCTAGGTTCTGGTAACAAGTCAGTTGCTACTAGCACCAGAGTCAAAGCACTACTGCTGTTTCCCCTCACATCCACTCCTTTGAAAATAGTCTCTTTTTAAATAAGCCATCTTTAATTCTTCTACTTTGGGACCCTGACTGATTAAATTGCCTTAGAGTCACCCAGTGATAATATACATAATTTCATGGTCTTAAAGACCTAGCTTGACTTTTTTTTTTTTAGTTTGACTTCCTCTTAAGTGATGTGTAGGATTTATATAATTTTGTTGTTTATCTGGACATAGAGAAGGGAGAAACCACATTCTTCAAGCTTACGAGGAAACTATAAAAAAAGTTTTTTTTTTTAATAAACTAAACAGGTTGCTTTACCCAATTCCCTTTTCAAATTCCCTTCTACCTTCTGTCATATTATGTAATCTGGTGGTGTACTGAAGATCTAAAATTAACTGGCAGAAAGAGTGGTATGTTAGAGGATGGATTTCCATTAAGACATTCTGGGCTTGGGGCTCAGCACTAGCCAACTCCAGAGTAGCTTTTTGATATTTCTAGAGGAACATTAATATTATCTCCTAACTTATGGCCAGCCAAATTGGTTTTTGTCTCTTTTTAAGTTACCAAGGGATCCCCAAGACCACAAATAACTGACAGGAGGGTCCATTGGTAATTAGTTTAAAAACTGAAGGTCTGGTTCAAGGTGGTGACCTAGGAAGATCCTGAACTCGCCTCCTATACAGACACACTTGAACCTATAGTTACATATGGAACAATTTCCTCTGAAAAAAACCTAAACAACTGGCTGGGCGACTCCTACACATTACCCAAGTCTGGCACACCATCAGAGCAGGTGGGAGAGGCTGAGACACAGTCAAGCCATAAACCCCACCCCTGTGCTGCAACCCACAATTGGGAGGGAACTCAAAAACCCAGCGCTTTTCCCCAAGGAGATAAGGGTTTGAACCCCACATTGGGTACCCCACTTTTAAGATCTGCACAGAACAGATAATCCCCCAAAACATACAGCACTGAAAACCAGTGCGGCTCATGTCCACAAGACCCACAAAGCTATAGCGAACGGGAGAAACAGCTCTTAAAGGGCTCCCTTACCTCAGGGCCCAGTGCGGAGGCAGCTGACTACACCCAAATGTGAAAGAGGCTCGTTCAAAAATACGCTGAAGCGCTGGCCCGAGAGGTAGGGATGTAACTTAACACATCTAGGGGCTTGCTGGAATACTCTTGGGATGGGGGTGGGGATGAGGATGGTGGGCACCACCTGTTTTTTTTTTTTTAAAAGAACCACTAGGCCTTTTATTCCCACCTTGCCGTCTCTGCCCCGGCTGTTACACTGCCCCCTGCCCAACTTCAACATGTACAGCAAACCCTCAGCAAACATCATTCTCAATGGTGAAAAACTGAAGGCGTTTCCTCTAAGATCAGGAATAAGACAAAGATGTCAACTCTAGCCACTTTATTCAACATAGTTTTGGAAGTCCGAGCCACAGCAATCGGTAAGAAAAATAAATAAAAGGAATACAAATTGGAAAAGAAGTAAAACTGTCACTGTTCACAGAAGACATGATACTATACATAGAAAATACTAAAGATGCCACCGGTAGACTACTAGAGCTAATCAATGAATCTGGTAAAGCTGAAGGATACAAAATTAATACACAGAAATCTCTTGCATTCCTATACACTAACAATGAAAGAGCAGAAAGAGAAATTAAGGAAAGAATCCCATTTACCATTGCAACAAAAAGAATAAAACACCTAGGAATAAACCTACCTAGAGACAAAAGACCTGTATGCAGAAAACCATAAGACACTGTTGAAAGAAATTGAAGATGATACCAACAAATGGAGAGATATACCATGTTCTTGGATTGGAAGAATCAATATTGTGAAAATGATTATACTACCCAAAGCAATCTACAGATTCAGTGCAATCCCTATCAAATTACCAATGGCATTTTTCACAGAATTAGAACAAAAAATTTAACAATTCGTATGGAAACACAAAAGACCCCACACAGCCAAAGCAATCTGCAAAAAGAAAAATGGAGCTAGAAGAATCACGCTTCCCAACTTCAGACTATACTACAAAGCTACAGTAATCAAGACAGTATGGTACTGGCACAAAAACAGAAATATAGATCAATGGTACAGGATAGAAAGCCCAGAGATAAACCCACACACCTATGGTCACCTAATCTATGACAAAGGAGGCAAGGATATACAATGGAGAAAAGACAGTCTCCTTAATAAGTGGTGCTGGGAAAACTGGACAGCTACATGTAAAAGAATGAAATTAGAACATTCTCTAACACCATACACAAAAATGAACTCAAAATGGATTAAAGACCTAAATGTAAGACTGGACACTATAAAATTCTTAGTGGAAAACATAGGCAGAACACTTTTTTTTTTTTTTTTTTTGTGGTACACAGGCCTCTCACTGTTGTGGCCTCTCCCGTTATGGGGCACAGGCTCCGGACGCACAGGCTCCCCGGCCATGGCTCATGGGCCTAGCTGCTCCGTGGCACGTGGGATCCTCCCAGTCTGGGGCACGAACCGGTGTCCCCTGCCTCAGCAGGCGGACTCTCAACCACTGCGCCACCAGGGAAGCCCCAGGACACTCTTTGACATAAATCACAGCAAGACCTTTTTTGACCCACCTCCTAGAGTAATGAAAATAAAAACAAAAATAAACAAATGGGACCTAATTAAACTTAAAAGCTTTTGCACAGCAAAGGAAACTATAAACAAAACGAAAAGACAACCCTCAGAATGGGAGAAAATATTTGCAAACGAAGCAACTGACAGAAGATTAATGTCCAAAATATACAAACAGCTCATGCAGCTCAATATCAAAAAAACAAACAGACCAATCCAAAAATGGGTGGAAGACCTAAATTGACATTTTTCTCCAAAGACATACAGATGGCCAAGAGGCATATGAGAAGATGCTCAACATCACTAATCATTAGAGAAATGCAAATCAAAACTACGAAGAGGTGTCACCTCACACCAGTCAGAATGGCCATCATCAAAAAATCTTCAAATAATAAATGCTGGAGAGGGTGTGGAGAAAAGGGAACCAACCTTTTTACACT